TCCTATTTGTCGATCATGTCAAATATGTCATATATGTCAGATTTGTCGATCATGTCAGATATGTCATATATGTCAGACTTGTCAGATTTGTCGATCATCTGCGCCACGTAGGTCCTATCATATTTTATTCGTTCACACTATTGCTGGCATAAGATATTGTGAAACAATCTTTTCAATTGAATTAAAATAAGTTTTAGAAACAGTTGCAAAGCCAACTGTTGGAATTTGATCTTTATATTCCTCTACTCTTGCATATTCCGATTCCTTATTAAGTACTTCTTGAATTTCCTTTACCAGCATTAAAAGTGATGAATTCGATTTAATGCAATCATGAATTTTTCAATTAAGACTTTCTACTCGTTGAGTGCTATTTGCATCTGCTGTAAATTGATTATTTGTATAGCATACAGCCCATTTGTGTTTAAAAGGATCTAACTGTTGCTTAATATAACTATTTGCTGATGTATATTTTGATTTTAAACTTTCTCAATGATGTTCAAAAATATTCAAAACCAATGTATTCCTACATTCAAAAAAGACCTCACAAAACTTTTTGAATTCATTTGAACTCAATTTATTTCGAAGGTTTTTTTTAGATTAAGATCAATATGAAACAAATATAAACAATGAATAGAATCTGAAAATTCTAAAGATATTGCATTAGCCATTGCTGGATCAGAATCAGTGAATATAACTCTTGGTATTAAATTTCCTGTTCCCTTTTTGATCATTTTTAATGCCCAAATAAAACTATTCTCTGTTTCATCTTCAAGTAAAACAGTTGCAACAAGTCATGTTCGATTGCAATTGTCAATTATAGCAAAGAATCAAGCTACCATATTATATTTGTTTGTACAGGATGTGGTATCAAAAAAAATTACATCATAATATTGGATCCATAAAAACTGCTGTTCAGGTGATAACCATATTAATCTATATAGTCGATGGTCAATTTCATTGAATCTTACTTCAATAAACCATCACGGATCATTTACTCGTTGTGAATACAAATGTTTCATAAGGTCTGATGCATCAAATTTGACTCTTATTACTAGTTTCTTTTTGCAGCTTGAATAGCATTGTAAAGATTTTTCTGATGAATCTTTCTTTCAGGAAATTTTCCTCTCAAAAGACGACCAATATTTTGTGTACTTGTTATACCATGCTGTACACAAAGGTCAATAAATTGAATCATATCTTCACCAAGTTTACGATATTTAGCAATATTAGTCGAAGGTGAAGGTATCATTGTATTCATCAACCATAGTAGTAAAAAAAATCATCAATGTAGTTTTTGAAAAATTTCTGTTAATTCTCCATTTGCAATCTGTTGCTTTGAATTATCAATTTCATTGATTATTCAGATTTAACACTTTTTTTGCTTGATATTTACCTGCACAACCACACTCCTAGCCAACTCTTTGTATCATTTTATTGCCATTATCTGAAATTTGACTTTCAGTACGTCTTCTTCAAATACTAAACCCTTTTTCCAATTCATATTCATTTAGAAATTTTTCTGCGTCCTCCCATGTGTGAAAGGTTTGTCCTATAATGATTTTAAGAGAAGAATTATTGCATTCTTCATTTGATGAATCCATATCAAATTCAAAACAGTGACTTGTATCATCTTGACCATGTGATCTGTATGAAAAAAAGTGACCTTCCAGTCCCAGATCAGGTATATTTTTTTTGTTAGTTGATTTATTAATATCTACAATTCTATTTTCATTTTGAATAAAAAAAAGTGAAGGCGATAAGTTTTGGTCGATATGGTCAATTATTTTCATTACAGGAAGATTTGAAAAAATGCAGATCGTTAAACAATCCAAAAAAAAGTACTTATTATTCTGATTTATGATGTAATAAAAATTACATATCGACATGAAAATTACGTCACGTGATAGACCGGTGATTTATCCTCTGGTTAAACGTAGTTATTTTCTAATTTGATATTATATTAAATAAAATTTAAATATTAAATTATTAAATCAATAATAATATAAATTTTTTGTTTATATTATACAAAATTATAATAAAATCTAAGTATTTATTACTAATTAATAATTATATTCTTTACTGAAACACGTGAAATCACAACTATGTGGCAACTACACATCTGCTATTTATCATAGTAAGCGTATTGTTACTCTAACTTTTTCATCATGTAGTAATATATATTCTATATAGAAAGTATATAGTAAAATATAGTAATAGTAAAGGATCTGTATCACTAATGCATAAAAAATGTACTGTTAATTAAAGTATTAATAAAGTAAATATATAAATTATTTAAAGTAAATCTGTAAATCATTTAAAGTATTAATAAAGTTAATGTATTGTTATTTATAGATTATGTAACGCAAATTTAATGTTAAAATATAGTTTATTTGCAGTAAATATATAGTAAATACATATTATATATTATAATGACGTCACGCTAATTTCTATTTAAAACTTGTACAAAAATCTAACAAAAGTGCTGAAACATTATTTTGACACGCTTTTTTAAGAAAGAAAAAACACCATTAGTATTATTTAATGAAGTAAAAAATGAAATTATAAGCTTTTTACCTTAAATTTGTTATTATATTATATGCGTACTTAAATAGCCTTAAAGAAGAAAGAGTTTTTTAAATAATGAATATTTTCTGAATGAATATTACCACTGCATTATGAATCACAATTGTGTATAAAATATACCTTTTGATTTCCATCCACAACTGTTAAGGGAAAAATCTTACATCAAGTATTATTATAATAAAGGGAATATAGCGAACAATCCAATTTGTTGTGATTTCGATAGATATTTTCAAACCAATTTACATATATAAATGGATAGTAATATCTATCATTGCTCTTGTGCTTGAAAATTCCCTTGATTATTGTGTAACTTTCACTATAATCGGCCACTTGAATCGTCATTACATCATTTGTGTTTAGATTTAATGATACTTCATTATTTGTACATTATGTAAGTAAGACACTTGTTCGTAAAAATTACAAGTCTTGTTGATCAATGACGCGTGATATCCAAAGCTGTTATAAGCAAGAGTCAAATCAGTTTAAAACGAAACTGTATCAATTTCAATTTTTGCATTTCGAATTGATAATGGCTTTCTCGGCTTTATATTTCAAATGTAACTAGATTATGAACATACTTTGAAAACAAAATTAGTATGATATTTTCAGTTACAGTAATAAAGAAATACATTATTATTACTTTCTGATTCGTTATTATCATCCACCTCTGAATTTTCCATAATAAACCAATTTTTGAATAAGCACTTAGAATCTTGAGATATATTCATAAAATCAGCACTAGATTGTAAGTTTTGAGAGTCAATTCCTCTGTCTGCAAGATGTTGAATGGACTGTAGAGTTGTATACTATTTTAACAAATCAAAATTAACATTTTTGCGATTCGTATGTGAAACCAAATTTTTAAAGATCTTATGAAACATCTCTTTCACTCCAACTTCAATATTTGTAAGGGTTCCGAAGGTTTTTGCATATTGCAGTAAATGGTAATTGGTGTGAAGATTAGGAAGGCTTACAAATTCGTTAAATAGCTGCATTTAATATAATATAGTTACTGTTTAACTGAAAAACTAAGTATAAGAATATAGTTAATGTTAATAAACAATATATTATGTAATTAGTAAAATAAAAATAAAACAATATACTTACTTCAAATTAAATATATATACTTTTGTATTATATGTTAGTTGTCCATTTTGCAATGTAGATATAAAACCTTACTTTAGTCAATACTTGTCGTTCTTTTTTTAAATACTTCTCAAGCTCTTTGTAATCATCTTCAGTTAACGAAATCTTAAATATTAGCTGAGCGTATTTTGCTTTGATTGCCCAGCATTTAATAATAGCATTGACAACTTGATTGCGATGAAAGTTTGTTCTTTCTTGTATTTTTGCTAATTCTTGTGATTTTAAACAATTAATAGTTAAGAATCTATTTAGTATAAATGGCATCACCATTCCCAGTTGAAGGCAGTCTGACATCATGAAACTTTCTATATGGCTAATAGGGTTCAGAAGCTTCGACTATTGACGAGAACATTCAAATAATTTCTAAACGCTAATGACATTCCATTCATCTTCTGGGGATAGCATTGCAATTGTCAGTTTAAGTAGCTTTAACATTTTGCCAGCTACTAGATGGTAAGGATCCTGTGGTGACTGTAGATAACGTTCTTGTAGAAGCTGATCAAGAATTAGCAAACATGCTTATAAACCATTTTCTTTCGCAATGTTGTTTTGTTGTTGAAGAGTTGAAGCTGCAAAAATTTCATCAAATTGAGTGTTGGTAACGTAATGATAACGGGATATACTAGCAATATCTAGTATATCATCCATTGCATTTTCTTTCAAAACTTGACACATTCTACACCCTTGATCGCATTATGTCATTTTACTCCTGCAAGGTCATTACCTTGTGGAAGTTTCGCAGTTACACATCCAATGCTAGCAATAATCCAGCAATTTTCCCCTTGTATATTTATCACCACTCCTTGTTCCAATTATTTCATATCTGTGATAAATGGTCAAATAAAATCATTGAAGTTACCGCCAAGTGGAACGAAGCATAAGACGAAATGGTTGTGAAGATGATTTCTCATATCAAATGGCATATTTCCTAGTTGAATATAGACTCTGCCTAACAAATGGTAAACATTTCGATAGATTCCAAAGTTATCATAGTAGATATCGATAAATAACTTTAAAACCTGAAGATGATTATATTGTGGTAGAGGCAAGGTTAGGATACTATATTCGCCTATGCATGTAATCTAAAATTATGTCTCGTAATTTCCAATAGCCATTATTTTTGTATAAAACTTCTTTAATATAAAATCTATTAGTATTATTTGAATCACAAATAATTGAAATATTAATTTTTTTAATGAGCTCACAAGTGTTTACAATAATGTAACCCTCTTCTAAATGTTAGTCTATTAGCTATAATTGGAATTCACATGTAGTTGATCATGTATTATAACGAAAATGATCGTATTTATCCAAATCTTTAACTATCATTTTCATTGTATATAATAAATTCACTTGGATGATAAATTTCTAAGTAGAAATGGGAAATATATTAATTAAAAATTTTGTTTATAATATAAGTAAATCAAAGTAATCTTTATCAATCGTTATCTCGTTTTGGCCAAACAATGGAGACTCAGTCCAAAGCTCTCTATGCCAGAACTCCTTTTTTTCATTGACCTCTATTCCCAGTCCAAAGTATAACTTGTCATACAATGATGAATTATTTCATATATTTTAAATAATGTTACTAATCGATAGATAATAGCAAAGTTTCATTCCTTTAGATGTAGATGGGATTTTTTTGGTTTATTCTAATAGAGCATGTCCTTATTGGCATCAATGGTAAGCATTATCTCCTTTGCTGGAACTTTCTTATGTTTTTTACATCTTTTATTTTAAACCTTTGGTGATATAATATGTCGGCTAAATCAGTGTATGCATTTGTTGTTATATTTTAATGTAGATCAATATATGCTTCAATGATCAGTATATACTACAATATTAATAAATAAAGTTTAAACTTTTGAAATATATAAACTTACATATATTATTGACATCATCATCATCATCATTTTCTCTTGAATTATAAACTTCTTCTGTTTCATCTTCGTCAGCATCATCACTACAATCATCATTAAAGTAAATGTAATCTTATCATTGCTATAATTATTATCATTGTCTTCATCATCATCATTATCATCATCATCTCTGGAATCATTATCAACTTTCATTACATTTTCGTTAACTTCTTTATGACCTGCGTTTAATACTATTGAAAAAAACAAAGAATATTAAATAGAATTTATTACTAAAATAAAACAGTCTTAATAGTTCAAACTCGAGTTATGAGAAACCAAATTTCATGCAAAGGTGCAATTGTTTTTGTTCTTTTTTACAACAAAAATGGTTTCTCTGCATGGTTTTTGCTAAGCCATTTAGTTAAAGAACTGAAATTATTAGTATAAATAATAACTACTAAAGGTCTGGACTATCAAGACTGCCTGTATTATCTAATTTATTATTATTTACATGAACTATGTCCTTTAAGAATATTATGTTTAGAAAATTTACGTAAAAAGAAAGGTTTGGTGAATGAAAGACGACTTTTGCACATTTTTGAAATTTTAAAGTTGAAGAAAAAAAAAATATTTTTTTAGAATAATGTTGAAATTTATTCTTAATTGGGCATTTAATATAGAAAGTATATTTTATTTATAAGTGTATACAAAAAAGTATATTTTATCCCTGTTTTGGTAAAAATCTATTGTTTCTTATGGAAACATGACCCATATGCTGATTACTGTATAAATAAATAATTGTTTTATAATAAGATTAGCAAGTAGATCAAGATTAATGTATGTGATAGATCAAGATTCATATTTTACATTTGTTATAGTTTATTATGGTGTACAAAAGGCACAAAGTCTATTAAATGGTCTGTGTTTTTATATTAATAAATTTAGACTTAAACTATAAAAAGATAATCAGTATTCCTATAGTAACTATTTACATCGAAAGAAGGTAAAACCTAAATCATGATGAAAAGTCTAATTATTATAAAAAGAGAGTTGTGTATTATAAATAACATTTTCTTAACTATCAATAAAATTACAATCTCTCTTTTATAACTCGTTATTCTCTAATTTTACAACAATCATCCTT